AGCTTGATGGATGATGGCGGCGAAATGAGACCAGGAGAGATGCACCATACGTCCAGCTAGTGCTGCACATCATTGCTTCTGACGCCTCATCATCAGTTTTAACAAAGACTGCCTTTAAATAAACACAGACCGGGCATTAAGACGATCAAATGTTAGGTGGGAAGATTAGGACTTTCTTGTCCTTGGGGTAAAACAACCCCCAACACACACTGTGATTTTATGAATCACTCATCACCAGCTGAGACTAAATATTATCATCTGCAGCTCGGCTGTACACTAGTGTCTTTTTAACCGTGATGCCAGGTGCTACTGACTAAACATTTCTTTCTGCCTCATCGCCCCTAAGGAACAATCAAACGTGTTATATTCAAACTAAAACTGATTTGACAGGAAGTTTGCCATCAGTGTGGAAATGTGTTGAGGATAATGACAGGGGAAGGACTCCTCTAAATGTTGATATAAAACTTCCCCGGCTAAATATAGAAAGAAAATTTCTGTTAAATTAAAACCTTTTCCCTGCTCCACTTTTTCCTCATCAAATCCACTGGAAACAGGACTGGCACATGGCAGCAGTCACACGCTTGTTTAGGAGCTTTTGTACAGCAGAAGCCGTCAACATTGTGAAAATTACCAGGTGGTGATAATTCCACCGGGAGACGAAAATAGTCCTGTTTAGGCAGGATGCTGTCACAGAAGGCAGCTGTGGGCGGGGGGGAACAAGTCCCGGGGCAGACATCCTGAGCTGCCCCGTGTCGCCTCCAGCCCAATAAAGTGACCACAGTGTTTGACATGTCGTTCTACAGCCTGTTGAGTCTTCACGCTGCAGCACGCGAGGAGCCACCGCTGCTTATTTACTTCTCTCTCTCTCTCTTTCTCACTGCAGGCCTCAGCAGTCAGGTTTTAATTCTATGTGCAGAGACTTGACGTTTTTTTTTTCTTCCCTGGAGCCATCCATAAATCGCTACTTGTCTTAAAGATTACACGAATAAATCTTTCCCAGTTCTGTACATCCAGGACAGGAAAATGACACATTCTTGCCTCAGTCATGTGGAAAGTCAACAAACAGGTGAAGCTAAGATTTTATTAACTTTAAGACTAAATGGAGCAAAACGATGAATATAAAGATAACTGGGATTATTTATTTAAAGTGCAATTTTAACTTCTTGGCTCCTACAGGCTAGAACAGGGTTATTGAACTGGTGGCTCGGGGGCCACATCTAGCTCGTGGGTGAGCTCAGTCTGGTCCATTGATGAATTCATTTAAAACTAGAAGCACTCCGAGTACGCACTTCTGCCAAGACCCTACCCAAAAAGCGGACAGGTGTGGGCCACATCTGGGGTCAATCTGGCACTGCTGGCATGCCAAGTGAATTGACAACTGGATGATAGGTCAGGTCTGGGAGTGATGGGATTGTTTTATGATAGTGTGGCAGTTGTGGTTAATTGTGGTTCATTTGTCCCAAATCTAACAGTTCCACAGCTGGCCCAGTTGTGGTGTATGTGGTCCAATTCTCTCAATGCCACAACTGGCCAGGGTGTGGTTTGGTTTATGTGGCCCAAACCTCTCAATACCACAACTGACAATTGTGTTTTGGTTTATGTGGCCCAAACCTCTCAATACCACAAGTGGCTCAACTGTGTTTTGGTTTATGTGGCCCAAACCTCTCAATACCACAATGGCTCAATTGTGTTTTGGTTTGTGTGGCCCAAGCATCTCAATACCACAACTGGGTCAATTGTGTTTTGGTTTATGTGGCCCAAACCTCTCTATACCACAACTGGCTCAACTGTGTTTTGGTTTGTGTGGCCCAAGCATCTCAATACCACAACTGGGTCAATTGTGTTTTGGTTTATGTGGCCCAAGCATCTCAATACCACAAGTGGCTCAATTGTGTTTTGGTTTATGTGGCCCAAACCTCTCAATACCATAATTGGCTCAATTGTGTTTTGGTTTATGTGGCCCAAACCTCTCAATACCACAACTGGATCAATTGTGTTTTGGTTTATGTGGCCCAAGCAGCTCAATACCACAACTGGCTCAATTGTGTTTTGGTTTGTGTGGCCCAAGCATCTCAATACCACAGCTGGCTCAATTGTGTTTTGGTTTGTGTGGCCCAAGCATCTCAATAGCACAAATGGCTCAATTGTGTTTTGGTTTATGTGGCCCAAACCTGTCAATGCCCCCAACTGGCCCAATTGTGTTTTGGTTTGTGTGGCCCAAGCATCTCAGTTTCACAACTGGCTCAATTGTGTTTTGGTTTATGTGGCCCAAATTTGTCAATGTCACAACTGGCCCCATTGTGGTTTGTTTTATGTGGTGTTGACTCATGCATGAACCACCTCTGGCAAACCATATCTGGGCCATCAAAAGTCCATTCTTTGTGGTATTTGGGCAGGGTGTTAGGTCATTGTAAGGGCCAGACAAATTTTGCTACTGTGTGAACGTGAGTTGTTATGAAAATGAGGGTGTGCAGCTGCTGAGCTGAGATTGGTGGAACAAAGCTCTGCTGGATGCTGATTGGATATCACAGTATGACATCATCACTACTGGCTCTGTTCCCTGTTTAAAGTCTCAGTTTCTGTTTGTACCAGATCATGGCGAGCTGCAGCTCTGGCAGATGTTGGCAGATCACCACCAAAATTTATTGAGTTGTTGTTTGTGACGACTCAAACATGTCCTGAAAATTTTTTGAAAATATGTTTGTAATGTTTTTGGTAATCTTATGCACAGACGGACGAACAAACAATCATAAACAACACTGCGGAAAACTTCACCTTCTTTTTCTGGGCTAGAAGGAGATTTTAAAGACTCTCATGTTGTTTAACTTGTCTAAAGTTTGCAGCAGTGTCAACACATGATGCATCCATTTGAACCCAGAGTGGAATATTTAGTAAAGGTCACTTACATCAGTCCTGTGGTTTCTTTGAATCTCTTTGAACAAAGGTTATTCAGTCTGAGTCACAGATCATCATCTGAGGAATCATAATCCTGAAGACACAGTATTTTTGTCCAAGATGCCTAATAGATGATACATACTGACTTAAAGCTTGTGCCATTTTGTTAAAACTGAAATTAAACTACATTTCATTAAAAATGTTTGTCAGGGTACAGAGAAAGTCAACACAGAAGGAAGCTTTCCTCTTTACTGAAGATGTGGGAAATGGTGTGTTGCCTGATGAATGACCATCTGTCACATGAACATTTCTGGTTGACTGATCATATTGTCCATCTATAATTATGAAGTTTTATGGAAAAAGAGGGGAAAGTTAGTTTGACAGCCATTACAAACATGCAGTGCTGCACACTACAGCAGGCTTACAGCATATAATTAAATCCTAAGGAGACCATATTCCCTTCTTAAATACACCATTGGCTCTGTTATTGCAGCAACAGTTTGATTACTCATTGTATTCACGCAGCAATTACGTCCTTAAAATACAGTATCCACCTTTCTGCAAGAAACCGAACCCTGTATTCAGTCTCCTTCTGAAGTGCTCATGTGAAAACAGTAAAGATTTCTATTTTAGTTGTGCTGCGCAAACTGGAAAGTGTACTTTCTAAACTTTTTTTGTTTCTGTCCTCTGTTCACAAAAACTTGTATTTTTGGAACATAGGGACATGCACGGTGAGTTGTGTCTGTTTATAGTTTCGATGTCTGAGTAGATTTTTAGTTTCAAATAGACACAACTACATTGTCTGATTTGTTTAGCAAATAAAGAGTCAACATTACAGAGAACAGCGAGACCAGTGGACTTCCTGTTAGGAGAAAATGAATTTTTGTGTTTTATTTTCAATTAATTATAGAGAAGTCCAGAAGGAGAATGTGTTCATTGTTGCTCCCAATATTTTAAAGCAGAGTGTGCCACCTGCTGGTTCTTCCCAAACCAATATTTTTTTAGGAGTCATGGAACCATATACTGTATTTATTTACCCATGGTAAATATATGGTTTTAACTCTCCTGCTGCCCCTGGGTCAAAATGACCCACAAGGTCTCAGTGTTAGGACTAAGTTCTCCTGGCAGGTCATTTTGACCCAATGGCAGCAGGAGAGTGGGGGGAAAGTAAACGTTGCAATCACAGCCTTGTTATTGCACATGGTTTGACTTTAGTTGTACCTCTTGTGTGATTAATAAAGCCTAAACATCACCTTGCAGGCATGCAGCCAGGGGCAGGATTCAACAAAATGCAACAACAAAAAACACACAACTATCATCAAATCCAAAAGGTATTCAATAGGTAAAGCTTAAAAAAACATTATTTAGTAGTGTCTACCCCTAATTTCTTTATATATTTTTCTTACGAGACATTTTTTTCTGTAATCTTTTAAAATTGGTTTTTAAAACCTTTTTCATACTTATTTAAAGTATTAGAGCATCAAAGACCAGTTCGAATGAAAAGTAAATATTTTTTTTAAATAGAGGTTGACTCAAGACTCTCTAGAACATGGGTGCCCAAACATTTTCCTTGAGAGGGACAAAATTAAAATCAATCTGAGGGCCGCGGGCCGAATGCAATAATATAAGAAATGCTTAATACTTAAGTAAAGTTGTTTTATTTTTTACGATTAAGCTAGCAGCCAGTGCGGTTGCCCACATTATTTAGTTGTTTTTTTTTTTCAGCCCATGGACATGGAGAAAATTCAACGTATGATCAGGCAGCAATGACTCATGGGACTTTTCATAATTTAAATTTTGAGTATATGTGGTCTTATAAGGTGTGCAGATCTATATATGAGCTTAAATCTAATCTAAATATCTCTTGTAGTTACTTGTATTTAATATTTAATCTTAACATAATTACAATCTAATAACCAGGACAACTACTGGTGGGCAAAATCAAATGCCTTGACGGGCCAATCTTGGCCCGCGGGCCCCACTTTGGGCACCTCTGCTCTAGAAGCAGGTGAATTCCACTGGAAAAGAAAGGTGCGCGTCTTGTCTCCTGGCGCATGCGCAGTGCGGGTGTTCAGACGGAATATTCTGGTTCGCGTGCGTCCGTCTGAGTTGTTGGCAGCAGCCGCAGGGAGGCGCCCCAGCAGAGACAGCAGCTGCCGGAGAGAGACGAGAAAAGAGCCAGCGGCCCTTTGGCTGAGCTTATCTGGATTTTGGGCGAAAGAAGCTTCCGTTTCTAAAATGACCAGTGAGTATTAACAAGTATTCGCGCGTTCAGCGCTTCCGCTTCGTATTTTAACAACGTGGTGGGGCGACTTCTGCGTTCCAGTAAATAGACGGTGCCCTTCTCGACTATCGTGACGTTATGTCACATTTTTAACAGCAGCGCTTTCTTCGAATTATTCAACTTTTTTTTTCTTCGTAAAGTTGACAGCCTTTAAACCAAATGTGTGTCTGTGTCAGCTAGACCCGCGTTACATAAGACAGGTCTTTGGTCTGTCTGTGGGGTCAAAGGATTGTTTGTGTTGTTGTCCGGTTATTAGCCCTGGCCTTGTGCTAAAACAATTCAAGTCTGAGTTGGGTATCAGAATTATAAATGGATAACCAATTGATAGAAGTAGGGAGAAACTATTTAACACTAATTATTATTAAAAATGTAGCTCTATTGCTTTGTCTTCCGCAACCCAGCTGGGTGCGACTAACGCCTGGAATATGTGCAGCTCCACAGCGCCCCTCTGCCACGTCCGCTGCTTTCCCCTTCCTATTTTTACTGGTGTTTTGCAGGAAACTGTGCACCCGTCTGAAGGGCGTCTTGCTGTTTATTTACACTTGCTCATTTGTTTTGTGTATTTATTGTGCAGGAGGAAACCAACGTGAGCTTGCACGCCAGAAGAATGCCAAAAAGCAAACTGAGACCCATAAAGGGAAGCGTAACGAAGACGGTCTCTCTGCTGCAGCACGGAAACAGAGGTATGTTGAGAGTTTTATAGTTTATATTTTCGAAAAGGACCCTGTGATCTTATTTTACCTCTACAGTAAGACTTGTGCAGGATTTCAGTTCATTTCTGAGAGCAGGTTTTGATTTTACATGTACAAGGTGATAATTTATTTGAACGTGTTGCTTAGGTTTCTCTTTGTTTTCTAACATCATGTCTCCCTCCCTCCTCCAAGGGATGCTGAAATAATGCAACAGAAGCAGAAAAAGGCAGACGATGGAGGGAAAAGCAGCACAAAGTCCAAGTAAACGAAGATGAATTTAACTTTGGCGTTCAGAGAAAGTCCCGCGTTTCTTCCTGATAAGAATGGATCCGCCAAGTTTTTGTCTAGACTCAAGAACCCCCCGGGATCCGACATTGTTCCCTGTGGCAAATGGCATTTAATCCTTATTTTTGTTTTTGGATCTGTTGTTTTACATGGTGAAACTGTCTGAGTTTGGGCTTCACCCACGTTGGTGCTGCATGCAGAGAAGCACCAGTGGTCTGAGCGGGAGCAAGTTGGAATAAATCTGGATGCAAAACATGTAACATTTGTGTATTTTTGTACAAAAAGTGTCCCTTGCTGATTTCAAATAAACTGTATCTTTTTAGTTGATTCTGTTGGGTGATTCTGAATGCTTGTTGTTGGAGTTTATGCAGCTTTTTGCCACATTAATAATTAAAAAAAAGTGTTTGAATATTTTCTCTCGGTACATGTTCAGTATCACACACGTCTTCCTGTTGGCAAAGTTTAGGTTGTAAACAAAATCTATAAATAGTGGATATTAATACTCAGTATTCTGCGTTTGCCATGTTTAGAATCCAGCAGGGAATTTGTTGACTTTTTACTCTTGGGTCACTCCACATTTAGTGATGTTGTGGTGTTAAAAAACTGATCTTGATGGGATTTAACTGGTTTTTAATGGGGTTTATTAATATTTAATCAGAAGCACTTCATAATCCTGAGAAAATCACAAGCTTGAAGAACCTGTAACAGCAGTAGGGCGGTGTTGAATCTGCCTTTTTGTGTTTGTGGCAGGAAACCAAGAGTACAGTTTAAAACAAATTAATATACTGGTGCATTTTTAAAAAATTAGAATATTAAATATATTTTTTGTGTCAGAGTTAAACTCCTACGTATACTTGGCCCAAAAGTAAGTAAATATGTTGGGTAGATTATTTATTTTAATGATTCTTGTATCGTTAGAAAGCCTGTTAAAGTCCTTTAAATCAGTGTTTCCCAAAGTTGGGGTCCTGAAAAGATTTATTACATTTTTGCCTTAGTTGTTACAAAGGAGTGAAGTTAGTGTATTTAAAATGGATAAATGTAGTATAAAAATATTGTTACTATGCCCATGTTTAGTTGATCTGATA